TATTCACCAGCCAACAAGTTGCTGGACTCGATGAACACGGCAGTGTTGTACTCAACAGCCTGCCTTGTGCTGGAGATCAAGCAAAGTGATTTCCTCCACCTTTAAAGTGTATGAAGCTGCAAAATCTTAAGGGCATAGAAACTTACTTTGATTGCAGGGCTGGTATCTTGGAAGTTGCATTCCTTTAATTTCCTTTGGCTGCTTGCTCTCCCCATGAAGGACATGCACAGGGTGGTGAGTTTGCAGTGGAAACTGGTTTTGCCTCATTTTCCACTTCTCTTCTGCTACAAGGAAAGAAGAGCAGCACTTCGGAGGCCTTCCTGCCTCTTTCTATGCAGACAGAAAGGGCTGGGTGTCTGTGTTTAATTACAGCCTGAAAGAACTGCATTTAAAAGACAACAGCAAGCTATTTAATTAATACTTATCATTAGCACACATAGGAATGCCTAGCAGCAAATTGCAACAACAAAGCAATTCCTTTTTGTTTTTTTTTTCCTTGCACTTGGGATAAATTAATTAAAAAAAAAAAAAAGTAAACAAACAATTTGAACCATATTTGGAATGGCTTTTTGTGTAGTGGGAGCAGAGGGATAGTAGCTCTGACCCTAGCACAGCCCAGATCTCTAGGAGCCTTCCAATCTCCAGCTCTACTGGCCAAGGAGCTTATCTTCATCTATCCAACTATCTATCTCTCTATCTCGGCATTCACACTGGGCTCATACCCATGTCTGAGCGCCTACTTGTCTTCATACCTGTCCATAAATTACACAGTGCCCCCGGGGCATTATAAATAATAATTCAACTCCCAAACCTTCAGAACACTGTTTTAAAGAATTGGCTTTTAATTCATTGTGCTGTGGACTCCTCCTTCCGGCCCATAAAAGCAGTGCTGGAGAAGGATGTGACGCCATGGGCAGCTGATGAAATGCCCCAAAATCAGCCCTGTGCACAGGAGGGACAGGGTAGGTGCCCATGGGTAGATGGATGGGGATGAAGGAAGGCTGAGCTGCTCTGCTGGAGGGAAATAGCATCCTCATCCTCAGCCTTTTTGAGATTTGTAGAACTGCCCATATTTCATCTCAGCTAGCCCTGCAAACATCCTGTTGTTCTATCCTTCCCTTGAATTAATAGCATTTTTAATGACACTAACTATTAATGATTGGAGTGATGAATTGCAGTGTGGCACTGGTATCTACATCTCCATGGGGCACAGCATGAGGCAATGATCTCTGACTTGGAAGCAGATGGCTTAAAGGGCAGACCTCCATGTTTAGCTAGGCAGATTCAACCCATACTGGGACAAGTGTCCCAGATCCCAAATCCCAAATTTCATACACCAAAAATGCCCACAGGACAGCAAGACGTTGTGGAATGCATGAACTGTAGGGTAGAAAACTCTAGCTGAGCAATGTGAGACTGCACTGTGTCCCAACACCTTGTATCTCCATCCCAATACACTACAGCTCCAACCCAAAATATGGTATCTCCATCCCAACACACTACAGCTTCATCCCAACACACTACAGCTCCAACCCAACACACTACAGGTCCATCCCAACACGTTATATCTTCATCCCAACATACTACATCTTCATCCAAACACAACGTATCTCCATCCTAACATGTTGTATCTCCATCCCAACACACTACAGCTCCATCCCAACATACTTTTTCCCATTAAATAGATGGGGTAAGGAGTAGCTGCCCCAGCCATATTGTCCCTTAGCGTGAAGAGTATCCCAATCTCTAGGGAACATGCCTGGTGAGATACATGGTCCCCATGGAGGATGACTAGAGACTGTGGGCATCACCTTCTTCCTGGGATGCATGGATCAGACCTACTCAGGGAAAGGAAACTGGAATTTTTGCTGGAGAAAAGGGTAAGCAGCTGATGTTGAAATGAATTATCTCATGATATGGCCTGGATTTGTGCACAGCTCTGAATGGCACAGAAGTAATATTTGTCTAACTAACCAGAGCCCTCAGCCACCTGTTAAGGTGTCAGATACGGAGGTACCACCAGCATCCATCTTTCCACATGACTTTCCTCCTCACATCTTCCATCTTCCCATCAAATAAAAGTTGTTCCTCTCCACTCAGCCTGTGTGGAAGCTCTGAGCACCCATTCTGGAGATGAATTGGGTCCCTGAGCCTCTGTGGGACCTGCCGGGAGATGTCCCCAGGCCTGTCCCCACAGCAGAGCTGGGTTGTGTGGCAGTGCATTGCCCTCTGCAGGGCAAAGCAATCCTACAGCATCTCTGCATGCCATGCTATGCCTTCCCCTCCATCCACCAGGAAACATGGAACCATAGAATATTCCAAGTTGGAAGGGACCCATGAGGATCACTGAGTCCAACTCTTGGCTCCACACAAACCAAACAGGCTTTTCCTGCCTGGAGAGCACCAAAAGAGGTTTCATAGTGCCCTAGATTTGTCCACCCTATAGGATATTTAGGAATTTAACCCTCTTCTACCTCCTGCACAGGACACCATCCCCAGCAGGAAGCTTCAAGGATGACACAGAGCAAGGGGACCTATTCACCATTCATGGTTCCCTTTCTTCTTGCAAACAAAGCTCAGTGGAACCCCTCACCCATGCATGCTGCAGCTCCTGGCCAGCCGGATTTGCAACCTTTCTCTTGGATGCGGAGCTGCCTGCAATTTCAGGCCTCTCCCCCCTCACAGGGTGACTTAAGTTATGATTAAGAGCTAAATTACAGCAGAGCAGTTGGCCCTGTCTGAGAACCGCAAGGTTTGGGGAGGCGGCTATTAGAGGTGGTGGAGTCCAACCCATATAACATGCTGCAAAATGAAAGGACCTGATGATGGTGGGGGTCAGATGGCATTGGGGGTGGGAGGGGGGAGATCTCACCATCACTGCCATCATTAATTAAAAAAAAAAGCCATCACAAAGAGGGTGGTGAAGCACTGGAACATGTTGCCCAAGGAGGCTGTGGATGCCCCATCCCTGGAGGCATTGAAGGCCAGGCTGGATGTGGCTCTGGGCACCAGGCTGGATGTGGCTCTGGGCAGCCTGGTCTGGTGGTTGGAGACCCTGCACATAGCAGGGGGTTGGAACTGGATGATCATTGTGATCCTTTTCAACCCAGGCCATTCTATGGTTCTGTGAAAAAGCCAGCACTAGGAGCAAGTTACTGCCAAGGAAGAGGCTGCATTGTTACTCCAATACAGGGCCTTTAGCTGGATTTGTTGCATCATTTTTAAACACCTCATTTTGGGATGGAGGCAGCCTCGCTGGAGGCACAGATCCCTTCTCTCCCACTGACTTTGGATGGGAAGCAAGCAGGGGGTGGTGAAGAGACAAGGGAAAGGCTTCCTAGGTGCTGGGCATGGCAGCTTGCAGCCCAGGCAATGCTCCCTGCACACTCTGCAAACCCCCATGCTGATTTACTTCACAGCATTTTCTTTTACCCCACTAAATGCCACTAAACCTTCAGATTACCCTCCCATTTTTACCCTTCCTTTGATGTCAATGGGATTTTTTTTTTTTTTTTTTTTAATGGCAAAAGGGGATTTTTCCCCCCTGGTGTAATTATTCCCATTTTTTTCTTTCCCTTTTTAGGCACAAAAGAATCCTGCCAGATGCATGGCTTGTGGAGGCAGCTCCCACATGAGGTATTTATATATTTATATGTATATGATGCGAACGTGGTATTGAAAGTCCTGAAGTTTCAGTCTGAAGATAAGGGGAATTTCCCATTTCCTATTTCTTTCAGTGGAAATTGCCCTGGAAGAGCCTGCAGCAAGACTTGGACCAAAAGCTGCAAGATACTGCACCACAACATAGTTCCAGTGGCTGGCACCCCTATAATAACCATACCCAGGGGACACATCCACTATTTAATACTAACACTTAGCAAGTTTTGGTAGTCGGGATGACTCCTAAAAGCAGATTCACTCCAGCCCCAGGTTCATTTCCAGCAGTTATGGAACAGATGCATTTACTGCTTTGAACATTCTGGGCTATTAAACATGACTTAACCCAAGGGCAGTACGTTGCTTTGAAAGGTGTGCACTGCTGTGAGGTCGATTCCAGCTCAGATCCCTGATCCCATGCTGGTTTTTCTCATCCACTTTACAAAAGAAAAAAAAAAAACCCACCCATTTCTGTCCTTCATGTTTGCAATGAGCATTTAAATCTTTGCGTGAGCTCTGGGAAGTGGAAAAGCTCTGTGAGCAGCACATGAACCTCCTCTCCAAAGTGAAACAAGCACCTGGTAATCCAGCACAGCACAACTTTACAGGATACAGCTCCCAGGTCTCAAAAGTGCCCAGTCCCTATCTTTCTACCCAAAGATGGGACGTCACAAGTCCTTGCCATGGCAATTCTGCTTCCCAGCATGCTTTCACCCAGCCCTGCAGCTCCATCCTTGCCTGCACATGCACCACAGGCATCTCAATCCCCATCTGTGCACGCCCCAGAACCCAGCAGGCACCACAGACGTCTTGGGGTGATCCCATTCTCAGGGAGATCTGAGAACCCCTTCTCCTCCCACTGTCCTCATGCTCTCTGAGGCTGCAGTAGGATATATCTTCAACTGCTAACTGCCATCCATGCAGACAAAATAAAACAAAACACAGGAATCAATGCAACAGAATCATGGAATGGCTTGGCTTGGGAGGGACTTAAAGCCCATGCAGTCCCAATCCCTGCCACAGGCTGGCTGCCCCCACCAGCTCAGGCTGCCCATGGCCCCATTCAACCTGGCCTTGAGCACCTCCAGGGATGGGGCACCCACAAACCCTCAGGGCAGTGTTCCCATGCCTCAGCAACCTCTGAGCAAAGAATTTCCTCTTAATACCTAACCACAATGGCTCGACAGTGACACCCAGCATTAGTCTTTCTGGTAGGTCTGGAACAAGATGCTCAGGGACAGAATCACTGAATGTGGTCATCAGGTAGGTGATGACTGTGGATAATTTTAAGGGAACTTTTTGTGATGCCTAACAATGATGAGACAAACACATTCCTTCAGCATTTCAATCAGCATTCATAACTTTATAGGAAAAAAAGAGAATACAATTGCAGAGTTCTTTTGTGAAAAAATTATTAAAAAGCCTAATAATTCAGTGCCAAAATATGTTCCAATTAATAATTAATTGCAAAGAAAGTGTAGGTTTCTATCCCAGTGTAACAAAGGGCTCTCTGGTAAAGGAAAATGAGCCCTGGGGGTATCACCCAGCCACATCCCTAAAGCTCAGGCCTGTCCATTGACACCCTGCAGTCCTGGGGAGGCCAGAGCAGCACCCTGTTTCCCCCACCACTGCTCCACAGCTGCGATGCGGTCCCGGAGCACTCGTGCCCAATCCTCGCCTCGCTGTAGGACAGTGGACTGGGTCTCCATTGCTTTTAGAGCAGTGATTTCAGGAGGGATTTCGGGAACCAGGCCAGCTCGCAGCACAGCATCCTGAAATTTGGCAGCAGAGGCTGGAGCTAAGCAACACCGGGGTGTGCTGAAAAGAAAAAGCAAGAAATCTTTTGATGTCAGCTTGAGCCGTAGGCAGAGAAGCAAGCTGGAAAGTGATGCTCTGGTCCCTTGACACAGCTGACCAGCACACCTGTCCCCATGCAGGTCCTTACCTGCTGCCACAGCTGTCCAGATGTGAGTAGTGGTAGTGAGCTGCCACGGCTGAGTGTGGGCATAGCAGGTAATGGTTCTCCTCCCAGCAGCGCTGCATGGCCTGCACGATGTCCTCATCAGATGCTGAGCACGAACGCAGGGTCTCTGAGACCTGCAGCAAGGGAAACAGAGGTTTGCATTGGGCATCATCACCTCACGTGTTCCTTTCAATGGAGTTGAATGGGCACCCAGCAAAACAGAAACAGGAAGGCTGGAAGGAGCAACTTGATGGGGGTTTCCCCCACATAATCAAGACAAGGGATGTCTGCTGCAGCTGGAGGAAGGTGCTGCTGGAAATGTATCCTTCCCCCAGTTTTGTAATAATGCATTTTTACATTATCTTGTCTATATATTGCATCTTTATTTTAGTCATGTGAGGATTTTTTCTTATATTTCTGACATGCAAGCAGGCCTAGGTGCTGCAGAAATGATGTTCATTTGGGACAGCATACATTGCGTGGGATAAGGAAGAACTCTGCCTCTCACCCAAAGAGCTTCACAATTCACTTTTCTCTTGTATTTCACTTTGCTTTGTACTCATGGCCCCATTCACCACGATATCAAGGCTGAATGGCAGTACTGGACCCCACACCCATTCCCCAACACCACACTCAATTTGTACCAGAATCCACTGCTCAGTCCACCCCAGCCTGACTTACTGCACAACTAATGCAGGCACTGGAGTGGCCAAGAAGGGGTAATTTCATATCCTACCTAAAAAATTGTATGTGTTTTTATGTAAAGTTTTTTGTTGTTTTTTTTTTAACATCTCTATGCACATACACTGACATAAAGCTCCTCTTAGATTTTAGTTTGGAAAGTCTCCAAAACATGTAATTTTTTTAATTCTGAAAATGAGTAATAGAATCACAGAATGACCTGGGTTGAAAAGGACCACAAATGATCATGTAGTTTCAACCCCCTGCTATGTGCAGGGTCACCAACCACCAGACCAGGCTGCCCAGAGCCACATCCAGCTTGGCCTTCAATGCCTCCAGAGATGGGGCATCCACAACCTCCTTGGACAACCTGTTCCAGTCAAAACCAACTGGAAACAGTAAATCTCCTTCCACACAGAGGAACAGGCATGAAGGACTGACCTTTCTGTGCAAACCCTCCGGCAGCTTCAGGCTTTTGGACACAGTGAATTTTTCCATCAGCGTTTTTGTCAGGTGGCTGTCAGAGCCTGAGAGCAGCCAGAGGATCCTCTCCACATTGTACGGCTCCTGGGATGACAAGGGAACATGTGAGCAGCAGAAATGGGAGCATCTGTCTCAGGGTGAGAACAGCTGTATGGATTCTCTGATGTCTAACCTGGGGTGAGGCCCTGTTGCACCTTCTTCTTGCTGGTAGGCTTTATGCCTTCTCCCTGCACATCTACATCCCCAAGCTCTCTTTGGGAACTCAATGTCCTTCAGACTCCTGACCCGTCTGAGCAGTCTGGCAGTGACCATCAGATTAAAACAACTTAATGAGGGGACAACTGATAAATTGACAGCAAGACCACATCTGTATCATCACCTTGAGGAAACCAAGCTAATAACACACTATGCATTTCAGAACCAGAAATATACAGCGGTTTACTGAGTGCTGCAGATGCTGCTATGAATCACACAGCTCCCATGTTACTTAATGAGACACTCAGCTCCCTGCAGGGCTGACCAAAAATCTTTATAAACATATAAGGAACATATAGGGCCTGACTGGACTGTATGGCTATGTAGCAATCGGTGTTACGACACTGCAGCAAAACTCAGTGCAATACCAGACAAAAGGGTCCCAAATGGATCTCACTGCTTGCTCTCTCATTCCCATGTGCTCAGAAGCACTGAGCAATGTTCAGCCAGGTGGTTTGACCAAGATATATTGTAGGAACAGAAAGGACAAGGGACACCAGATACAAAGTCCTCACCATGTCTCTAGGATTCCTGCTCTGTTGCAGAAAAGTGCTGGCTTTGAATGAGTTCTATCTACCTGAGTGCCTATGACCTCTTGTTTCTCCCCTCCTGTCCTCCCTTGGCAAGTCATCAGGACTTACTCAGCCTTTGATGTCCTTATCTGGGTGGCTTACAGCTCCATTCCTGTTCTACATCTTCCCACCATCATCTTCCACTGCCTTCAGCCTGTAATTTCACTGTAGTATGGGTGTTGCCTGCCCTTTGCTTTAGGCTGTCCCCTGGTTTAGACTGTCCTGACCCAGGTCTCCTGAGAAACTACGTGTTAGCATGCTTGGACTTTGATGACCTGCTACCAGAGGTGCCTCCAGCACCATCCTCCCAGTGCCTCTGGTGCTCCCCTCTCTGCTTTTCCCACTCCCCTTCCACCTCCATACGTTTCGGCCTATGCTTTCTACTGCTATCTAGACTCAGTCTGGGCTGGGCCACCAGTGGGAGCCTTGATGTTCACATTATCCATCTCCGTGGTCTGTTTTTGTCCCATGTGCTAGAGTTGTCCAGAAGGACACCTGGGCTCAGTCGGGAGGATGGATCACGCGGAGAACTGTTCTCAAGGAAAGTTTTGGCTTGTGGACATGAGCTAAGTCTTGCTGCCTGAATTCAGGCCCAGAAAATAAATCTCCTGGCTGGCTTCTGATGCTGAAAGTCACAGCATGCACCGTGATTCTACTGGAAGTTCTCCTTAAAAGGAACATCCACAGTATAAACTCTGATTCACCTTCATCTTTCCAGTTACTCACTAACTGGAGACTGCAGAAAAGGCAACCAAAAGGGAGAGAGAGCCCCACATATTCATGCTTTGGGAGGAACTTAAAGCTGCAGGCCACAGTAGCCCAGTGATGGGAGCAAATAATTTATTCTCTGCAAAACATGGTATTCCTCCATGCCCCCAAGTCTTCCCACTGTGTTTGAACAGCTCTTGGAAAATTCTAGTGGCTTAAGGGCATGGTGATACAACACCAAGTATTTCAAACCTAGGTCACTTGTTTGGAAGCAGATCCAATCCCTGCGGATCACAGGGTAGGTATGAAAGAGTATTTGCTGTTATTATTTCCTGGTATTTGTCTCCAGGCACTTGCTTTCTGTCCCTCCATGACTTTTCATTTCTGATGCCTTTGCCTGCTGGGACTTGTTTTGCTCTGCACAAACTGCAGACGGCCATAGATGAGGCATTTCTTCAGGGCTACTCCAGCTTCTTCCCTTCTTCTCTTGCTCTTGGTGGAGCCTTCCAGAAGCACCAACAGAAGCCCTGGGACATGACAGGATTTATACTTTTCTAAGTGTCACAGAGGTGTTGAGAAAATGGTCCTTTCTTTCCAAGCTTGCACATAGCAAATCTCCAGAAATCCACCATTTAGCAACAGAGATTACCAAGTTCAGCCTTGAAAAGTATGGGAGAAGGCGGTGTTTGATCCATCTCAGCTCAGCAGTCTGCAGCATAAATGCTCAGGATGACTCACACCTCCCAGTGCATCACTGAGAGGCACTGCCAGTGGCAAAATTACAGTCTTATAAACCAGGTATAGCAAAGTACAAGGAAAAAAAATCTAAAAATATGCACGTTCATTATCTTCCATTTGTTTCAATTCATTATCTACCTGAATATCCATGGCTGATGCTAATGTAGCCTTCACACGACCTGAGAGTGAGAAATCTCCATCTTTAACAGTCCTGTGAATGATGTCATTGCTGTTAACTGCAGCAACCAGCTGAATTGGAAGACCCATTTTCTGGGCAATACAGCCAGCTAGAAACAAAAGTGAAAAAACACATGCATACTTGAGAAAGAAACGTTAAAAACAGATTTAACAAGGAAATGTCTGTCTAAGTTGATTGAGCATCCAAGTTCAGAAGTGAGCACAAACGACAACCCCTAATAAACCTCCAGATATCTATCTTAAATGCCTTGGTAGAGCCCCATATTACAAAATGCTAGGACACAATGCATCCCCTGGCAAACCAGCCCACCAAACATCTCTGGATCTGAAGATGGATAGGCAGGAGACCAAGAAGTCAGACAGGTACCAGTCAAGCAAAAGAGAAGAAGTTTGGAGGTTCTTGCAGACTATTCATACTGCCTCAGATGGGCAGCCTGGAAATACAGTGAAAGCAGCTGAGTGCATTAAATGCTTTTCATACTACTGCTGTGTGTCTAATTCAGGATGGAGGCAATCAAAGATTCACATTGAAAGGGCCAGACTAGGCAGTTAGGAGTGGCTCTCTTGACAGTACACTATCTAAATCAGGTAAGACAAGGGAGAACTTCACAGCTCTATAGAAGTCTTACTTGGGAAATCAGAGCCACAGTATTTTCCCTCTTTTCTGAATCAAACATGTTCTGTCCTTTTCCAATGTGTCCACCCTCAAGATAGCTACAGTCATCATTAAAGAGTGGTTTCAGATTTTCTGCACCTTGCAAATCATCAGAGACACTTGAATGAGTAATAACCAGACATGAGTAATAAAATATAAGTGGTTCTGAAGAAATCCTACCAGAGAGTGGGTGTTTTAATAAATAGCAATGTCCAGCATTTGCAAAACATTTTCAGGTCACAGAGCATTCGCTCTCTTCCCTAACCCATCTTTCCTCCCTTTACCTGTGACATTTCCTCCCCCTCCTGTTGGCACAACAATTTCCACCACTGGCAGTGTGGTGCTATCCAGGGTCAGGGTGCACCGAAAGTAAGTGTAGAAGTAGTGAGCAATCTGCACCATAATCCTCGACCAATTGACCGAATTCAGGCTTATCAGGTTGTTCCTTCTGGCAAAATCGACATCAGCAAACAGTTCCTTGATAGGCTCATCGATTTCATCGCTGTTCCCATCAACTGTCAGAAAGAAAAAGGAAAGAGTAGAAGTGCTGACATCAGTGCATCAGGCACAAAGTATTTCTGCTCAGAAATAGGGCCAGACTGAAGCCCTGGGGTTTGCAGCAGCCAGGATTGTCCTGAGCTGTCTGTCTGTCTCGGGGGCTGTTTGAGTTGGGGTTACTTAAGCCATAAAATTGAGGGGAAAAAGAAGTGGGGTCACCCCTTCATCCTTTTAGTTCCAAGAAATGGTGTTCAATTCAGGAGACAGCTCTAATGTGAGGCCAGGAGAAGAGAAAGCCTTGAACCACTCAGTCATCAAACTGGGAACACGTGCTAAGAGCCTCTCCTTAGCAAGACAGCAGGGCACAGTCACTTTGATGGAAACGACCCAGGTGACTGCAGCAGCAAAAACAGCAGCCCCTGGAGACATTTAGGGTCACAGTTTCAACACAGCAGGGCCACAACATGGATAATCCTACAATAATGCCAACCAACAAAGACGTGGACATTGTCTTCAATGACGGTGGTCATCTGAAGTTCCTGTATCTGGGTGCACAACCCTTTGGGTAGCAGAACAAAGATGTCCACGTTCTTCTGCCCTCTCACACTCTCAATTGCTGAGCTCCCTGTGTCCCCTGAAGTCCCTGTTTCAAAGCAATGAAGAAACAAGAAATGCAAACATTGACACACCAGTCAAAATTGCATCACCAGACTTTAAGAAAAAGATGTGGAGGTGCTCCATGAGATACTTTTGGTTAGAGAAACCTCCTTGACACTGACAGGATCCCTCATCAACCTCCCATGAGGCAACACCACTACTCTGGGGCACACATCATGGTGGGCTGTAGGATGATTGCTCTCAAGGTAAAGACCTGCTCAGAAGCTTTACCTCCTCCAAAGAGAAATACTCACCCACCAGAACACTGATGTGCTTCTGCTTTTTCTCCAAGAAATACTGTAAAAACTGCCCCGTGCAGGACAAGGACAGATCCTTGAAAGCGTAAGTAACCCCATGCCAGAGCTCCAAAACATTCAGCCCATTCTTCAGCCTGGACAGATGAACAATATCCTTGTGTCTGAACTTGCTGAAAGCCCTGTCAATCAGATCTAGTGGAAAAACAATTAAAAGTGCTGTCAGAATAGGTACAGGACAACTTTTCTTATCTGTGGTTGCCTGCATCTGTGCTCTGTGTGCTCCTGGGAAGCAAAGGCAAAGACTCTCCGTTGCTGGAGAGGTGACATATCCAAAAAGTTGTTGTTAGCTATTAGGAGGAAGCCAGCCAAGCTCCATTGCCTTCACAGCTCTACAGTGAAGAACTCTAGAGGAAACCTGACACAACCAAAGCAAACTGTTAAATAACAAAATAAAGGAAACCAAACTTTTATCATTAGCACACCGTTGAGACAGAGGTTGTAGCTGCCCTCTGGTGGAAAGGATGGTTTAAAAAGATTATAAATGGAATCACAGAGAGCATGAAAAGCCATTGGCAGGAAGGTAAAGTCTGGTGCTAGCATTGCACTCCCCCAGCAGTCAGCAGGGCCGCAGCACTAGCAGTTGCTATTGCAATCACCACAGTCCCCACGTGCACGCAGGGTACACATTTTCCAAAAGGTAACAAACCCCAGCAAGGTGACAGAGGAGAAAAGGGCAGAGAAAGGTCAGGCGATAGTGTAGCAGGCTCCATCTTCTGGGTGCTGTGAAGATGCTTAAGCTAAGGCAGCACCCAAACACCCCGAAATCCTCACAGATGTCTCTGCTCCCACTTGAGACTCACCGCTAAGTGTGCGACGTGGGATCAGCTCAGGCTTGACAAAGAGGAAACATATCTCCTTCACTAGCTCGGGGTAGGAGAGGTGGCTCCATTGTTGCAATGTGGGCCTGTCCAGCGAGGGGATGCAGCTGGGCATGAAGAGCCCACCATCAGGTGCATAACCAGAGAAGAGGGCTCCCTCGAAGTCCACGGCCCCCGTGCCTCCCCGTGTGCTGATGTACTCCATCGGTGCTGGGTGGGCACTGGGGTCACTGCCAAAGTCATGGATTATCTGCTCCGCTGGGAGCACTCAAACTGACCCTAAAATATTTCCCATTGGGCTGGAGGATGGCATTGTCAAGGGTTTGCTCTGCCTGTGCCCTTCTCACCCTGCCCTGGGCATGTCTCCTCCAGTCAGTCACTGTGGGCACCTGATGTCTCCTGAGGGCTGGGTGCAAAAGCTGGAGCTTTAAGATAAAATTATTTCACAGAATCACAGAATGGCCAGGGTTGGAAGGGACCTCAAGGATCATGACTCTCCAACCCCCCTGCCACATGCAGGGCCACCAGCCTCCACATTTAATACTGGACCAGGCTGCTGAACCCCATCAAATCTGACCATGAACACCTCCAGGAATGGGGCATCCACAGCCTCTTTGGGCAGCTGTTCCAGCACCTCACCACTTTCTCTGTAAAGAATTCCCTCTGACATCCAAACTAAATCTTCCCTAATATTTAGATATTTAACAAATTTAAAAAATAAAAAAAGGAAATGGGAAAGGAGACAGTAAGAGGAGAGAAGGAAAAGTGGGAGGAAAAAAGGAAGGAAAAGGAAGGAAAAGGAGGAGGAAAGAGGGGGGGGGAAAGAGGGGAAAGAGGTAAAAAAAAGGGGGGGGGGAAGGAGGAAAAGGAGGTAAAGAAAAGGGGGGGAAGGGATAAAAAGAAGGGAGGGAAGGGGTAGAAACATGGGAAAAAGGAGGGGAAAGGGGATAAAGAGGGAGGAAAAGGGGGAGGAGAAAAAGGGAAAAGCTAAGGGGAAAAAAAGTTAAGGGGGGAAAAGTTAAGGGGAAAAAAAGTTAAGGGGAAAAAAAGTTAAGGGGAAAAAAAGTTAAGGGGAAAAAAAGTTAAGGGGAAAAGGAAAGGGGAGAAGGGAGATTATGCTTCTAGAACAGCCTGATTTTTTTCGAGGGAGTTCAACGGTCAAACTAAGGTCAGCATTTAACTCAACGGGTGACGAGTACAGCAAACCTCCAGGATTTTTTTTTTTTTTTTTTTTTTTTGCGGGGGAGGGGCGAAGCCTGCCGGCCTTCCTCAGCCAGAACGCTTTTCTCTTTCTCCAACCCTTTCCCACCATCCCTCCTTCCAGCAACACCGCAGCGTTTTACCCGTCCCGGTTCCCCCCCCCCCCCCCCCCCCCCCCCCCCCCCCCCCCCCCCCCCCCCCCCCCCCCGGCCCACTTCGCCCCGCTCTGCCCCGCGGTCCGCCCCACCTCGGCGCTGCGGCTCCGGCCGTTCCGAGGCTCCCGAGCCCTTCGCTGGCTCCGCCCCGAGCTTTGGGGGCGGGTCGGGGCGTCCGGCACAACCCGTGGGCAGCCCGTTGCAGTGCTTCGCTACCCTTATTGTAAAAAACCTTTTTTTCTTATTTATATCCAAAATACAAAAGTCCATTCGCAGCAGGCTGGAATAAACAGTTGGCGGGGCATGGCGTTGCTCTTCAGGGGCAGCTCAGGCTTCAATCAGTGGTGAAACCTCCCCAGGTCCATCCCAGGGTCATCCGAAGCCCCGGGGTCACCCCAGGACCCGCCCTGGGGACGTGGCCGCTCACCTCTGCCGGCCCCAGCGCACAGGGCAAAGCCTGCAGTGCCGCAGGGTGTAAGCAGGTGGTTTGGGGCCCGTGTGTTTTTAATTCTCTGTGTATTTTTGGAAGGCAAACGAGCCTTCCATACACCCTCAGGTTAGTTATTAATCCCTTGTTTACCATTTTTTCTTTTCTCGTTGTGCTCCTTCGGCAGCTGACAGAAAAACAACATCTCCAAGCAGTGAAATCAAACCAATAAAGGAAAAACAGAGAGCTGTACCAACGTGGTTTGCCTCCTCTACACTGATGTCTCCCTTCTCCCAGAGCAGCGTGCTGAATTTGGGATTCATGCAGAGGCAGAGCACATTGTGAGCAGGAGGAAGAAACCCACACAAACCGACAGCTTTTATTGGCAATACAAAGCAATTTAATTCTATCAATATGCATCTGATCATCTTGACAAGATGCTACAGCCCTGCAGAGTCACCATGGTGGGTCCTCACCTCTTCTACCACCACCAGACTTTTATGCCTTCATGCATTCTCTTTCAGTGCATGAATTAGCAGCATGAGATTAATTAATAATGAGATTAATAATCAGCTGCAGCAATAGATCAAGAGCTGGGAAATGAAACAGCCTGTTCATGCCAAGTGCCTCTGTGTTTTCAGACTTGGACCATGTCTGTCCTGAGCACTCCATGGCTGCTCAGCTGCTCTTTGGACCTGACAGAAATCAGCTATTTGCAGGCACCAACTAAAGCTACTGTGTCACTTTTTTTATTAGCATTGCATCAGTTTCCATCCCCCTGAACTGGATTTCCTCAGCCTCACAAGAAAAAGCAGAAGGGCATACGCAGCAGTGAGAGATGGGTTTGGTTGCCTTTTCCAGGCCTCCTGCAAAGCACCCCCTGGCCCGGCAAAGCTGCAGAGCACAGATACATCACTGGATGGCAGCAAAGCCTCGCACACACGGAGGAGATGCTCAAACACAGCCTTGTCCTGGTTGTTCTCACCCTTGCTCAGTGCCCTTCACTCTCTATGCACCCAGGCAGTGTGTGCTTAGCCAGGATTTCTGGCAGCAGAAAGGAGCACCCCTCCAAAGGGCTCTGTTTTAGAGCCGAGGAAGAGGAGAACAGGAGATGTCCTGCAGCAAGAGGCCAAACTATGGAGATGGGTGGCAAATACAGGGGCTCACTGTGGTGTAAGGATGTCCTACATCTTTACCCCATCTTCTCCCTGAAGGTTCCAGGGGTTTATCACCCTCCATTCAGCACACTCTCCACTCTCCTCTCAGTGGTCTCTGGAGTCTACACCCAGGGTGAGACTCAGGAAAGAGCACATGGAAATACTCCAACTCACAACCAGGACCAGAAAGTGTTGAATTTATTAAAAAAAACAAAACAAAAACATCAGTAAACCACAATGGCACAATGGCACAATGCTTACTGCCCTGTACAGAGTATGACCCCCCTCTCAGACACAGAAGTGAGAACTGTCAGAGGAAGCAAGGAGTTTTCAGGTAGAACCTGTAAGGTTTGGGCCAGAAATCAGAATAATTCATTTCTGCTATTCTCACTAATGTGTGTTGAGGTTTGGGTTCAATGGCAGGAAGGACAGAGAAGACTGCAGAGTGTCTGCAACTGCATGGGCAAGCTTGATCTTAGATGCATTTCTTTCAGCCTCAGGTCAAGGAGATATGAGACAAAATAAGTACAATTACATATGAATCAGTGCAAGAAGCTGCTCCTTTGTTCATAGAATCATAGGATTGTAGAATCATAGAATGGCCTGGGTTGAAAAGGACCTCAAAGATCATCCAGTTCCAACCCCCTGCTATGTGCAGGGTCACCAACCAGCAGACCAGGCTGCCCAGAGCCACATCCAGCCTGGCCTTCAATGCCTCCAGGGATGGGGCACCCACAGCCTCCTTGGGCAACCTGTTCCAGTGCTTCACCACCTTCTGAGTGAAAAACTTCCTCCTAGTATCTAACCTAAACCTCCCCTTTCGCAGTTCAAAACCATTCCCCCTTGTCCTATCTCTATCCACCCTCGTAAACAGCCATTCCCCCTCCTGTTTATATGCTCCCTTCAAGTATTGGAAGGTGCTGAGGTGAATTTGGTTCTTTTCCCCTTTTTCTACATCTGAAATTTATGACTCTATATTGTAGCTATCTCACCTGACATGAGATAGGATTTCTCCACGTAACAACTTCTGTTCCAGCGTACAAATGTGTAAGCATACACTTTTCCCCCCACACCCATGGTGGTTTTACAGTGCAATGAGCCACCAGCATGTTGGCCCTTTCACCATGGGTAGGTGTGGCACTTCCCTGCCATGAAGTGTTTTACAGCGGGCTGAAGGACGTCCATGTTGTGGTTTGGGTCTTCTGATCAAAGTGCAGAACCCAACTGTAGCAGCAGAACAGGAAGGGAGTGTGAGGATGGGGTTGTGCAATGGTCAGTTCTATGGGGAGACACAGAAAATGCTCTTTCCTAGAGAAGGTTGTGCAACCCAGTCCAACTCAGCCAAAGGTTACATTGAACGTGCTGGCCAAATATTCTTTCAAAAACTGTAGTCACATAGGATGTTGGTTCTATCACTGCCCTCCAGGCAAGAAGAGAAACGAAGATAAGGAAAGTGCTGTGGTAGTTTCACAGCTATAGCACTTTTTCTTTATCAGCTTTCCCGGTGACTTTGGGAAAGTTTCTCAGTCTCTGTGCACTTCATCATGTATAAAGCATGGATACCTATGCTTATGGAGGTACTCTGAACAAGGTAAGCGTGGCAGAAGCATAAAATAGGACTGCATGGTGGCAATACACTGGAATAGGTTGTCCAGAGAGGTTGTGGATGCCCCATCCCTGGAGGCACTCAAGGCCAGGCTGGATGTGGCTCTGGGCAGCCTGGTCTGCTGGTTGGTGACCCTGCACATAGCAGAGGATTGAAACTAGATGATCATTATGGTCCTTTTCAACCCAGACCATTCTATGAATCTATGATTCTATGATTCTATGATTGATTCTATGAATTTTGGACTTTGTCTGAAGCTCTGGCCTTGTGAGCACCATGGTTATTTCTCACGGAGTGTCCCCCTAGCTGTGAACCTGCTGAAATTTGGATGCTGTCAGACCACACACAACCTCACAGCAGTGTCATGCCTCAGCCTGTGTTTGTACATTGTTTTTGTGTCTTTGCTTTGCTCATTTGAAGAGCACTATTTGCTAGGGGAGGTCATGGGGGTTTGTTTGTTTGTTTACATTTGTTTTAAATATATACTGCAGTTCTGTGCTTGGCTCAGAGCAAGACAGAAAAACCTTTGCCATTGTGCATTCACTCTGCAGCATGAAGACATAAGTGCAGATACCAGTGAGGATCACACAGTGTGTGAGGCTCCTTCAGATATCATGGGTGTGGGACACAAAGTAAACTACTCTGACAGCCATTTCAAGGACAGAGGCATCAATGTAGTGCACACAGAATCATAAACTCGTAGAATAATTAAGATTGGAAATGAGTTGTACATCAGGACTCACGTGCAAATGGCAGGGCACACAGACACACAGGTTCCTCCTCCTGCCGTTACGGGCCTGAGAAGCTCTCCCTGACTAATTTGCAGCCATTCACTGTGAGCAGTCATTAAATGTGCCACTTTGCTTGATAAATCAGGATCAAGGAAAGCATGAGGCAGCTGGAGAGGTGAGCATCATCTCAAAGTGACAACCAGGTATACCTCCAGGATGGAGTTCACCTGATCACCTGTAGGCACTCTGATGCTGCTGCTCTTTGCCTCCCACCATGCAGTTCTCTGCCTGGTCAGATGAAGGTTGGTCTATCTGCACTATGTTCTAGAGGCTATTCATACACTCAGACCATACAGAGACATATCTG